AATTATCAGGAACTGTAGAACTAACTTATATGTAGTAAGAACTGACGTTTATTTATGATCTGCTAGAAATTGATCTGCTGCCGGAAGTTGGCAGATCATTTTTTTAATTGTCTTTTTTTAAGGTAAAAACGCCGGAACTATTTCTAAAAGGTATCAGGAACTATAGAACTTAGCTGCATGCAATGAGAACTCTCATTTATTTTTGATCTGCTGGACAATGATCAGCTAAGTTCACTGACATAAAAAACTGTAGTTAAGGAATTATTTCAGTTTGTGAATGATCACTTACGGTTAACGCTCTGCGTGGTGCTTCTGAGGACATCTTCGTAGCAATCGAAGGTCGTCGGACCCTTCTGGCAGATGACTTTGGCCAGCTCCTCACACTCCTTGTTGAAGACGGGAAAGAAGTACTCCACGGTCTTCTTGCTGTACGATGGAATCGTTATCTTCCTGTGCAAGCGCCAGGTCGGTCCTGAAATATTGTTATTGTTATTCACTGTGACTTAAAGCCTTTTGGTGCACGATTGGTGCAATGGCCGAAAGACCAGCTGTTATAATGCTGCTTCAAACAACTTACCTCCAGTTATAATGCCACCACCGAGGAATGGCAAAATGAAATCATATACTGGCCCTTTCTGATTCAATTTGGTACTTGACAATAAAACCTGGAATTGAATAAATTAGCTCCAGTTAAATATTATAAATAATTTATACTTTGTTTTTTTTTATGGAATAAGCCGATAAACGAGCCGACGCATCACCTGATGGTAAGCAAGTTAGGCGTTACAAGTGCGTTACCAGACTTTTGGAAAAAAAAATTTGAGGATTGGGCGAATTGGGGGATTGGGGGATCAGGGGATTGAGGAGACTGGAGAGGGGAGTGAATTGAGCCTCTGACAACGCAACCGTTGTTTCACGTCTATTTTCTGTGAGATCGTGGTATCGCTCCGGTTGAGCCGGCCCAATCGTGCCGAAGCATGTTCTCCCACTTTGTACTAACGACATGAACATAGAAATACTCCGATGCCCAAATCCCCAAACCTCAAATCCCTAAAGGCCAGTAGTGCTCTTAGAATTCCTCTAGTGTTGCAGATCCATTGGCGCCGCAGACTCCTTGCCATCAGGTGACAAGTCAACTAGTATAGGGCCCAATAGGGCTGATGCCGATACGGAGCCGCGGAGAACTTAACGGGTTACCAGGGCTCCGGCTCGAAGTGCAAGAGTAGAAACGGCGTAGTTTTTAGTCAGCAAGTGTCTGACACTCCCTCCTGCCTCATCTAGGCGGGAGAAGACTTTCGATGATTTCCTACCTTAAAAAAAAATGCCGCGCTATTGCGTTAAATTAGAATTGGATTAGACGTTCCCTGGCGTGTTTAGCTAGGATAACTGGATAATCACAATATAGTTGAAATTGTTCAGACTTGTAGAGGTATAAAACAATGTATGATATGCTCAAAATATTATTTCAGTGTCTACTTACACGGATATCTGTTGGGTTTTTAACAACAATATTAAGTTCAGGTCCCAGCCAGAACCTAAAAACATCACCGTACGTCTCCACGAGTTCTCCTATTTTGTTCAGTATCTCTGAAAATTAATGGATTACTTATTAAATACTTAGTACAGTGTAATTAAAAATACCTTTAACCGACGAGCATGCATGGAAAGTCTGATGACTGTTGAACCGAAAGTGATACTTATAAATAGTACTGGCCTTTACGCGCTGTGCCAACGATTTTTTTTATAAACTTTTCTTGTTATGTGTTTTTCTATAATAGTTCGAAGAAACTTTATATTTTCTTTCATATTTTGGAGACTAAATAATAATAAAAACAGTATCTTGTTTACCTTCTGGCCGGTTCATGAACACGAGCGCATTTCCTAATAGTGGCAGCGTGGGCGGGCCTGGCAGCTTGTTCGCCATCTGTATCATCCTCCTGTTCTTGTATCTCCATAGCAACCAGAATGCTACCAGTGCACCGCCTATTATGTACAGGAACAATAGTGGCCAGTCCATTCTGTAAATAGATATATAATGCAAAATTATCTATCTGATTATATAAAAATGAATCGCTGAATGTGTTACTAAGCGCAAACCTCGAAAACTGCTGAACCGATTTCGATTAACTATTCTTTTTTTTTGTTGAGTTTGTTGTTGTTTGTTGTTATTCTTGTTACAAAAATTCGCAGAAAAAATTCCAAAGTCAAACAAAGTTTGAGGGATCCAGCACTAACTAGTATCCTATTTATAAATCTACTAGTTTCGAGCCACAGAGGGGCCCTACCAAATCAGCAGCGTGCGCGGTCTCGGTGATGTGATACAAGGTAAGTTGCGCGACATAGCCGAGACTGCATCATTTATTTATTATTCTTATATTTTAAAGGTCACAATTTTACAGAATAAACAAATGAGTGCGAATGCGGAGTGACATTATAAAACTAATTAATATTTATGCAAATTAACCAATTTTTTTAAAAATATTATTATAGGTACTACCCGTGGCGTCACTCGCGCCACAAAAGGATAAAAGTAGCCTATGTGACATATATCACAGCGCCACCTATAAAAAAATACCAATTCTTTTGTTTTCCCTCGGGAATATCAACATTTTCCGGGATTAAAAGTACGTATAAAGTTATTTATTCCGGACCTCTAACTTTACAATGCAATCGGTTTAGAAGTTACGGCGTGAAAGTGGAACAAACAAACAAACAATCTCACTTTCCCATTTATAATAGTAAGGATATATTCGAATTAAACATTAACTTAAACATATTAAACTTTTCTGTTTAATTAAACTTGGTAGCTCACTTCTTTTATATTTTATATTTAGCCGACGTTCGTCTACGATTCATCGTAGCTTGTTGCTTATGGGGCGACGTGCACTATTTTATTTATTTATTTATTTGGACAACCAGTAGTTCTTGGATGTATTCAATAGGAGCAGGTATTGGTTCACTCATTCTATTTGCCTCAATTATAGTATAACAAATTACTGTTACAATAACATAAAGTTTGGTCTGATGATACAAAAAATAAAACAACAATGTATCACACAAACTCAGCCTGTAGTGTTGTTGATGGGTGATAGTACTGGGGTAAAGAAGCGGGATATAGTGGATGGATGGACATAATAATGTGTGCTTTCCCATATTCTGACAATTTGACAGAATCACAAAATAAAAATATACATTATTTAAATAATTTAATATTTATGCTGACATGTTGTCATAAGGACAAATTATTATTTTTTGACACTAACAAATTTGTTAGTGGTTTTAAATTGACCAAGGAATACATGTTTATAATTTAGTTTATAATAGTTTAAGTTAATCTATATTATGTAGACAATCTCATAATAAAGAGATTAGCTGTACTTATTATGATAGTATGAAAGAGACTCATGATTTGATGACAAAAGTGGGTACTCTGGATAACTTTTTAAACTAAATAGTGAGACTACACTCCTGCGTTATTTAGAGGATCATCAGCTGCTCAGTGACCAGCAATACGGTTTTCGTAAAGGTCGGTCTGCTGGTGATCTCCTTGTTTACCTAACGCATCGGTGGGCACAGGCGATCGAGTCTAAGGGGGAAGCGATGGCAGTAAGTTTAGACGTGGCGAAGGCCTTCGATCGGGTTTGGCATAGAGCGCTTCTTTCGAAGCTTCCTTCCTACGGACTTCCCGAGAAATTATGCAAATGGGTCTCCTACTTCCTTGCAGACAGAAGCATTAAAGTCGTCGTCGACGGTGAATGCTCTGACTTGATGTCTGTAAATGCAGGCGTCCCTCAAGGCTGCGTGCTATCGCCTACATTGTTCCTCCTCCATATCAATGACATGCTGCAAATCAGCGGCATTCATTGTTATGCGGATGACAGCACAGGCGATGCCTACTACACCGGCCGCGCTAACATTTCTCGGGAAAACGTCATAGAGAGCCGAAACAGACTCGTGTCTGAAATCGAGACCTCTTTAGGGAGAATCTCTGATTGGGGTGGACTTAATTTGGTCCAATTTAACCCCACTAAGACACAAGTCTGCGTGTTTACCGCTAAGAAACTGCCGTTGGTCGTCTCTCCTCAGTTTCAAAGCACCCCCCTAACTGCCTCAGCCGGTATTGGAATACTTGGTGTCAATATTTCGAGCGACGTCCAGTTTTGCGGTCATTTAGAGGATAAGGCCAAATTAGCCTCGAGGAAGCTTGGTGTGCTCAATAGATCGAGGCAGTATTTCACCCCGACCCACCGCCTGCTTCTATATAAGGCACAGGTGCGGCCCCACATGGAATACTGTTCTCATCTTTGGGCGGGGGCACCCCAGTACCAGCTTCTTCCTCTGGACCGCATTCAGCGGCGTGCCGTTCGGATTGTTGGATGTCCGGGTGTTTCAAACCGGCTCGACACTTTGGCAATGCGTAGAGATGTAGCTTCATTGTGCATTTTCTACCGCTTATACCACGGGGAGTGCTCTGAGGAATTGTTTGACCTGATACCTGCCGCATCTTTTCGCCATCGACCCTCACGACAGCATATGCATCCCCATCATATAGATGGTTGGCAGGCCACAACTGTGCGGTTCTCACGTAGCTTCCTGCCTCGCACAGCAAAACTGTGGAATGATCTGTCGTCGGCGGTATTTCCGAACCGATACGACCTTCAAACCTTCAAGAGAAGAGCGTACTCCTTTTTAAAGGGCCGGCAACGCACCTGTGACTCTTCTGGTGTTGCGGGTGTCCATGGGCGGCGCTGATTGCTTACCATCAGGTGATCCGTCTGCTCGTTTGCCTCCTATTCCATAAAAAAAAAAAAAACTACAGAGGATAAACAATTTATTCAATGTTACAAAAGTTACATGTATTGCAAAGGTATCTTCTGGCAGTATATATTTAAGTCTAAATCGATGAAAGTAGTACATAAGAAGAAAAAACAAGAAAAATTGTTAACATTGTTTAGTCAAAATATGCAGGGCTTTTCATCAAAATCTCTAGAAATTGAATTAGTTTTAGAAAAATTTAAATATGATATTGTTTGTATTACTGAACATTGGCTGAAGGATTATCAAGAAACGGGCGCCGTCAACTGGGACTGGTCAGCTCTAGACTGTATTATTTATTGTCTATAAGGTTATTTTCTTTTTCGATCACTTTGACTGGATTTTAGCGTTACATTGTTCTCGCACAATCCAAACAGCATAACTATGTAACTAGAGAATTGTATTGTGAACCTGATTGAAAAAGAGTAACCTATGAAGTATCTTGCTTGTTCTTCTCCATAGGAATCTACACCTTGGAATGAGCAAATAGCTTCACTTTTAATTTTATTGTTGACGTTCAAAAGTGCCTTTCTGGTCTAATTGAAATAAATGATTTTGACTTTGACTTTGACTTTTGTTACAATAAATTATTGTCATTTTAAATGCACAATTTTGAATAAGGTTGGTAGTGGTGAAGGTTACGCACGTGCTTTTATTGGTACTACGATTGTTGTCAATTTTAGTGATCTTTTTTATAGTGAACTAAATTGAATTTTTTTAATTTTGTGCTGTGTAATTGTGTGTGTAAGTTTTATTAAGGTATTGTAGTTTTAAGTTTTAATACTTCTTTTTCCTTCCCACCTTTCTTACTCTAACGATGGACGAGGAGAAGCCCCCTGATCCTCCCGACAAATCGGAATACAGTCCCGTATTATGTGTCACACTTCCCCACGACAACCAAGATATAGACCTTATGGATTCTGAACCTAATCATAATAGAAAGCGACCTGCAGGCTCTCCTATTATCTCCCGCAACAACCCTCCAAAACTAGCTAAAAGCATAAATGGTAGGCAGTGTTACACGGCTAGAGACAACCCCCCTTATATTATCCATGTTTCGCTCAAGGACTCCCAGACAACTGGTACTACGCTTCACCCAATCAAATTCGGGATGTTCTTGACGAAAAATAATATAAGCAATATAAAAATTGGAGGAGTGAAACGACTAGGTAGAAATAGAGTGTCCGTTGAATTTGTCTCCCACCAAGACGCAAACAGTTTCTTGGTTAACTGTGTTGTAGCTCAGAATTATACCACCTCAATCCCTCAATACAATATAACAAGAATGGGTATTGTAAGAGATGTTCCCATTGAGTGGACAGAGGAAGAAATTATCAGGAACATCAAGGTTCCTGCTGGATGTGGAATTGCTATCAAAGCAAGACGGATGAACCGTAGGGTGTCATCAGAAAATGGTACGGAATGGAAGCCTACCCAAACTGTGGTGCTGACTTTCGATGGGCAAATTCTTCCAAAGAAAGTTTTTTGTTTTTACTCTGCTCTCCCCGTAGAATTGTACACATACCCCACAATACAGTGTTTCAACTGTTGTCGTTTTGGTCACACTCGCACTCTGTGCCGCTCCAAGCCGCGTTGCTTTAGATGTGGTCAGGATCATCCTGGCGATGGATGCTTAGTATCAGAGGAAGTTGCACATTGCATTAATTGCAATGGCAACCACTTTGCTAATAACAGTGCTTGCCCGGAGTTAGGCCGCCAGAAGAGCATTAAGGCTCTGATGGCAGAAAAGGCAATTTCATATGCGGAAGCAAGCCAAGTATTCCCTGCAGTTAAAAAGTCATATGCCGAGGTATCTAAATCCAAATCCACCAATTATATACAAACAACACCAATAAAAAAATCATCCCCACAGAGACTATCTTATAAAAAAACTGTCTTTGTCAAACCTAAATCCCATGCCCCTCTTTCTCCCAGCTACGATAAGAAGGCCCACCAGGCCCTTATCCATGACTACTCATTTTCTCCCTCACAAAACGGTTGCGCTTTCCCTGTGGAATCCGGAACCAATACTCAAAGCTCCAAGAACATATTAGACATAATTTCGAGCATGCTTATGGCAGTGTTATCCAACCCTTCTCAAACCGTACCTGACCACGTCGCCCATAGATTAGCTACCATCTTAGATTATATCTATAACATTCCACCCACTAACAATTCTCCAGTGGAACGTGAGGAGTACTC